TTCCATATGTTTAAGGATTTGATGGAGTGGTGATTTCTTCAAAGAAGTTAGATTTGACGACTGTAATTTCTCAAGAAGAGAATTGATGAAAACCCTGATAATGGAAGAGAAATATAGCAAGAGGATAAAGATTGACTCCCTATTTTAACTTGGATAGTTGTTGTGACAAATGAGCTATTGTCAAACATAAAGGTAAATAATAAGAAGAAATTTGGAGAACAAAAATTGCATAAGGGCACATGGAGTTTGTGCAGAAATACCCATAGTATCTAATGAGGTATTGTAATGAGACGATAGGAGCAAGGAGAAGAAGAGTTCCCAGATGAAACTCAAAGCAAAGACTATGTAAAAAGTTATACAACAGGTAAAGACTTTTCCAGTACATGCAAGAATGGAAAAATGAGCTATTGTAGATGCACCCAATTGAGGGGGTTCAAATGCCTGTAATAAAAGGTGACCACATAGAAAGGCAAAGACATCAAAAGAGAGTTAGTGTGGGTAAAGCTATCAAGCAGAAAAGCATAGAAGCTCCAAACATAGAAACTAAGATGGAGGATTGTAAGGAGTGTACTGCAACTCTCTCTTTCTATGTGATTAGTGGCAGTGATCTCTCTCATTATCCTATGGTGGTAGAGAATCTTAGAGTCACTTTGAGGCATCCCAGATGACGAAAGATGCGATCTCTTATGAAGGGCAAATACACCTTAGAGAGAAGGTGTGAGGGCTATTATATAAGGCTAAGTTCAGACCACCCCATGATAATAGGCGAAGACACCTTACAAAAGATGTGAGGGCTATGATATGAGCCCCAATTCAGAATGCACCAAAGCCAATATGATAACTAGATATGAGTAGACAAGTGTTTGGATAACCAATGAAGTGGTAATAATGAGTATAAAGACAAATGTCTTATTGACTTTGATGGATATTGCCCCCATGCTAAAAATCAATAAGCTAGAAAATATTTTTCTTGGACAATAAATGTATGACTTGTGGAGCATTAAGATGCAACTACTATGTAGAAGCAGAGGGCATTTGCAGATCCCTAGAATAAGTTGACTCTTGTTAAGGTGGTGAGCTTAGTAATGACATTGTCATACTTAGAGTATGAAGACAGATATGAATCAACCTTTGATGGGCTGCCCCTCATAGTTAAAGGTGGAGAGCTACCTGGATTATTAGGAATAAGAACAAGAGACTCACGGAGAAGTAAGGTGTGGTTTCTATGGTGGAATAAAAGGCAGGCGCAACTCCTGGATGAGTAGACTCTTAAAAGAGTGGTAAGCTTATAATCACATTCAAATACTCAGATAAAGACTGTAGCACTTGGAAATAAATTTTTTTGTTTGAGGGGGTGTTGTATGCCTAAGTATGAGGCTTGAAAAATAATTCCGAACCGATCATGGTTGATACACTCAAAAGAGAATATTATGCCCAAAGACTAGCGTTAACACTCTTCAAATATGATGTGGAAGACCATTTGGTTGAAGTAATGATTTGGTGTGAGTGAGGGTGTGCTTTGGTAACTCTAGTGATTGAAAAGTTTGGTAAGTACCTGTAAAGTTGGTCGAAGATGCTCTTAGAATGGTAAGCATGAAAAAACTACAGGATATAAGCTTGTGTTGAAGAAGTAAGAGGATAATTGCTCATGTAAATGGCAAAGGGAGTGATTGTTAGGAAATTGTCATTTTATGGCAAGACCCGATCACTATGCTTAGTGGAAGCTAATGTTATGTCACCATTAATATCATGATTTATAGCCTCTTGTTTGCTATTGTTGCCTATAAAAAAGGCATAATTTTTGGAGAGTAAAACGAGAGAGAGTGAGTGTTAGAGAGAGAAGAGAAAAAGAGAGAATAACTGCAAATGCAGCAATGAGAGATAAGAGTTAAATAGAGAGGATGTGATCCTCCTTTTCCATATATTTGTATTGTATCATTTCTCTATATTTAATAATATAGAACTTTTCCGTGGATGTAGGTTTATTGTCGAAACACGTTTAGTATTGTGTCAATATACTAAGCCTCCAATGAGTAATGATTAGAACAATACCGGTGAAAATTCCCAACAGTTTGTGTATAATAAATTCTTTAAAAAAAAAATATAAATACTTAAAGAATATAAAAATATTAATCCTTTATCTCGTTGATTTATCTGGGTTTGATAAACCCATATTATCTGGGTTTGATATCCAAACCTATTTAGATATATAGGTTATTACCCTGACTTTAACGTTAAAAAAACAAGGTGATAACCCAGTATGCATATAATAGAGGAAAGAGTGCAAGATCACAAGCAATGATCCCTTGAAAAACAACTCAAATCAAAGCTGAGATATGACTGATATACAATATGTGCATGATGGTCATTCCAACTTGGTGAAGAAATATGTATATACATATACAAGAGAATGAGTACAAGAACGTTGCGTGAAGATTTACTTTTTGCAGGGGTATTTTTATTTTTTCGAGGGGTGGAACCATATTAGTTATTCTTTTGAGATTATAATAGCAATTACAATTTAAAATATTTTTTATTTAAAAATATATTAAAATATATATTTTTTATTTTTTAAAATTATTTTTAATATTAATATATTAAAATAATTTTAAAACATAAAAAAATTAATTTTAAATAAAAAATTTTAAATTTAAAAAAATTAATTTATACCTCATTTCCAAACACAAACATAATAAAACAAAAATAAATTTATTGATATATCATTTACATGTCCAAGAGATCGATCGAGAACCTCGCCTTGAACTTCATTTGCAAAACCCAAATAAAAAATTGCAGTTCTCCCAACATTGCAAATTCATAGGGCCCAAGTTCTGTATGGAAACAAATGAAAGTCGGTGCTGGGAGTGCATGGAAAATAGCATTAATCAAGTAATGTGCCAATGAAAGTCGGTACCTTACAAAATATATATTCCAAAATTCCGTTGTCTTAATCATTTATTTTCTTTAACAAAAACTAAAAATAAATATTCAAAAAAACTTCCGGTGATTAGAATTAAGAAAAAAAAAGTATTTTTTTAGTAATTTTTAACCCACCTCCTCATCATACTCTCATTTTAAAGGTAAACTCATTTAAATCAAGATATTTTTTTTTTGGTAACCTAATGATTTTTTTTTTCTCATCTTTTTTTATCACTTCTTTTTTCAATTTGTAGGAATTAAAACGCGAGAACAATAAGATTGTTACACTAAATAGAGGTGGCCATGTTCTTTATACAGTTTGGTACTCTAGGAATTAATGTAACAACTTAGTATGAAATATAGGTATGGTTGTTTTTTAAAATATTTTTATATAAAAAATATATTAATAATATTTTTTAATTTTTAAAAATTATTTTTAAAATTAATACATTAAATTATTTTGAAAACATCAAAAATATTTTAATATAAATTAAAAAAATTTAAATTATTTTAAAAATACTTTTGAAATATAGTGATAAACATGGATTAAAAAAAAGATGAAAGATTCATCATAGAACATTGAAAAAATAAATTTGAAGTAAAAGAAATTATAAGAATTTTTTTATATTATAAAAACTATTATTACATACTAAAAAAATATAGTAATTATACATAAAGACCTTTTTCTTGCTATATATTTGTAAAAAAATTGTCTATCATGTATCTATTTTACTGAGAACTTGATTATATTTTAGATTTGAAAAGAAAGACTGTAGAAACTAGATTAGGAGGGAGAAATAAAGGAAGATGGGAAGAGATGCTTATTTAAAAAAAATTTAATTATATAAATTGTTATATTTTTAGAAAAGAAAAACATAAAAAAAGAGATAAATACTTAGATTGTTTCATTTTAAAAATTTTAAATGATAAAACATCAATTTGAAAAATAAATAATGGTCAATCCTCTCTAAACATGCTATTTAAATTTTTAAATTAAGGATTTTTATTGCACTCATTCACGTAAAATGATGTATTTTTTATATAAAAATAATATAATATGAATGAAAATATGAAAAAAAATATTATGAAATAAAAAATTTAGGTATTAGTAAAATTGAAGTAAAAATCATTTGATAATAAAACAGACAATTAGTAAAATTGATGTAAAAATCATTTGATAATAAAACAGACAATTGAAGTATAATATTATCAAGGTTTGGTGAAAAACATAACTGAAGATGGCAATTATAAGAGTTTGAATGCCTAATTTACCCTATACCACCCCCCACAGGATCCCTCCATAACCAGTTGTGCTCTTGTTAAATATCTTCTTTAACTTACAGTCTCTTTCTCTCTCGGATCTCCACCTCTCGCGATCTGCAAAAATGGTAAATTGACGATTGATCTGCTGTCGTTTTTGCTATTGACATCCCATTTCTGCTGTTGTTTTGTAGCATCCGCATCGAATTTGTTCCAATCTGCTTTGATCTCTTACTATTGTCATCTTAATTACGCATATAATTATCTAAATCGATAGCCTCTAATCACACAATCGAATCGTTTTCTCCGTTTGCTGAATCCAATGGGTGGCTTTGGATTCAGTTACGCTCTGGTTGGTTGCTAGGAATTGGAGGCACTAAATGATCGCTTCGATTTGTTAGTAACCAAACGGAGTGTTGAGGTTCTGAATTTTGCTGAGATCTGGTGTGGTGATAGATACGTGTGGAATTTGATTTGATTTTGAAGTATCATTTTGGTTGCTTTGAAAGTGAAGGAAAATCTGGATTCTGAAAATACTGTTGTTTTGACTAATTTGGTTTTATTTTATTTTTGGATAGGATTCCTTCCCGGTGGTGAAAAACATTCTTCTGCTAGACTCAGAAGGGAAGCGAGTTGCGGTCAAATACTATTCGGATGATTGGCCAACAAATACTGCAAAGTTAGCTTTTGAAAAATCTCTTTTTGCAAAGACTATGAAATCAAATGCTCGTACGGAAGGTTAGCATAAATTTGTTAAGCTATATGAAAAGCAAGTTTGAGGAATTATGCAGTTTTATTGTTTGTTGATTATCATTTTCCTGTTTAATGGTATGCATTTACGATGATTGGGTAGTTTTGACTCCAAAAATAGTTTCTTATTGGGGCAAATCACAATGCTTTTTTATCATGAAAAAAATATTTTTTGTATTGTGTGAGAAATGCAAATACAAATATGCATACAGGCACTGATCTACGTTCAATAATATATGGGCGTCTTTTGTTATTTGAGCTTACTACAACACTTCTTACTCTTGAGAGACAAGATCTTGCACAATGTGCTACAGCTCGAAATCCTCGTTTGTTGAATTGAAAAGTAGTTGCCGCTCTACATGGCCCAACTGCAAGAGCAAACATATATTTTTCTCACACCATAAAAATCATTATATATGTTTTCCAAAAGTTATTTTGAAGAATCATTTGGAGATGAAGGGTGTTGGTTAATTGGCTGAATTTTCTGCATGTGGAAAATATTGGTCTTGTCTTAGTTGTGAGGGCTGTCTTGAATGAGATTAAATTTCTGCTTTGTCCTTGTTCTCATTTTGCAATCCATCCTTTTTATCTTTAATAGTCTGCTCTTACTAGTTAGTTGATAATCCTTAATAACAGTTCATACTCTTACAACTTACTTTGAAGTTTGTTTATTGGGGTTCTTGACATTTAAAAAATTTCGAGATTATTTATTAGGACTGATAGGGTTCTTTATGCCTGCATTGTCATCTAATCTTCCCAGTCTTGGCTTCTGGCATGTTGTTTTGGAAATGTGTCCCAGTGAAACTTAAAATAGAAAAGTTAATTATGAGCCTTTAATTCTGTTCAATTGATCATAGAAGTTATGAGATACAATGTCACATGCATTCCTGATATGTTGTTGTATGCAGCGGAGATTACAATGTTTGACAGCAACATTGTCATATACAAATTTGTTCAGGATCTCCATTTCTATGTGACTGGGGGTGAGGATGAGAATGAACTCATCTTAGCTGCTGTTCTTCAGGGTTTCTTTGATTCAGTCTCTCTCCTATTGAGGTATTCTGTTTCTTGATTTGATTTAATGATTGTGTGATTTTGTTTTTGTGCTATTTTCATTTCCCTGTCCTCATTTTAGGAGCAATGTTGACAAAAGGGAGGCACTTGAGAACTTAGATCTCATTTTCCTATGCCTTGATGAGATTGTTGAAAGAGGGTATGCAACTAATACTTTCTGTCAGCTGCTTTTTTATTATTATGCAATTTTTGTTTTGTTTGGGAATTGGATTGACTTGCTATGCAATATGGGAAAATGGACTCAACCAAGAATGTTAATTTAAATGCAGTTTTCTACTTGTAGCCTTGATGGATAAACTTGCTGCAAATTGAAATCTTCATATGCTATAGAGCTCTAGATGCGTGAATTGGAAGTTATAGTCCTGTATTCATGCTGTCTTTTAATGTATCTGTATTGTTATTGGTAGTTTGCATGGTGTAGGTGAGTTAATAGTTTTTGTATATTTTTTTTGGTGTTCCTGCTTGCATCAACTGTAGGGATGGTTCTTTTACCTTTTCTCAACCTTTAAAAAAAAAATAATTTAATTCATTGTCATTTCACTGGTGAAGATGATTTAATTGACTTGTATCAACCCATTATTGTGAAAAATAAGTTTCTGATCCTGCTTCTCAATGTGAATCATTCAAAAATAAAAGCGGTGCAATCTTTATGTTACTACAACGATGACACAACCATATGCTGCTTACAGTAACAAAAAATTGAATGAGTGGAAGTCCCTTCCATGCTTCCTTCTCTATGAAGTATATCTTTTCCTGCAATCTGCATATATTTGCTTGTGATGCTATCTGGTTAATATGACAGTAAAGGTCTCTTACATATATTTTGTGCATTCATTCTTGCTTGGCAGCATGATCCTAGAAACAGACGCCAATGTTATTGCTGGAAAGGTGGCTGTAAATAGCATGGATCCTACTGCACCTCTATCAGAGCAGGTTTGATTTTCTCCCTGCCTGTAACTTTCTTCATAGGATTTGAGTATTTAACTGTTATTATGGAATCAGAAGTTCTGAAAATTGCTAATAAAATTATCAATCTTTAAAAACTGCATGAGATAATGCTTGATCCAAAATTCTCTAAAAACTTAATTTATTCATAGAAATCATACTCTCCCCCCTTTAGTTTCTTAACATGACCACTACATTCCCTTTCTAATATTGCAGACAATAGGTCAAGCATTGGCTACAGCTCGTGAACACTTGACGAGAACCCTTTTTCAGTAGTTTTCACGCACAATCAGAGAAGGTGGCTTGGTTTATTCTTTTGGTTATTATTTTTCAATCTATTGGCATTTAAGCAGTTGTTTCCATGTATTTTTGCCTGAGTTTATTGAACATCGAGGATCATTCTATTTAGGCTTGTAATCAAGCAAACTTCTATGCAGCCAATAATGTCCCTTGTTTCATTGTGATCCTTGGTGTTTCTGTATGTTTCTTGGCCGTCTCATGACTCTGACCTAATTAATACGGTTGCTGCAAAGTGATAAACTTGTAGCTATTCTCAACTTACTAAATTTGGATCCCACAGGCATAATGTAAAACATGTCGTGTCTTGTACTTCATTTGAAGAAACTACACAGAAGCGCACTGGGAACAAATGCCTTGATTTCATGACTAATTGCTTGCATTGTGTGGTGCACCGCATTAACTAGCAAAACTTAGGGGTGTTCATGGTTCAGTTTGGTCTGGTTTTAACCCAAAAATACAACCAAATTGGAAAATAATATTCTTTATTAATACAACCCGGACTGAACCAAGAACCAGTTCAAACCAAACTGGTTTTGTTTGGTTTGATCATTTTTTTGCAAAAAATTTAGAAAAACCGGACTGTTCTATGGTAACAATGATAACCATTGTTCACTTGCTTCCCCCTTCCCTTTCAGATGATGTTAAGAAATATTTATATATTAATAATCAAACTACACAATTTTGATACAATAGAATAACTTTTAGAAGCCCTCTTTACCTTTAGGCTTACGATCTTCAGGGAAGGTGTTTGTTCTATGGTAACAGCTGTGGTTGGAAAAAATTGAACAATTCCTTGCCTGGAATCATGAGATACGTTTTTTATTGTGACTTGCATATTGAAAGATTGCTACCATTGTTATTCTATTGTATCAAAATTGTATAGCTTGGATAGCCATTGTTCACTCGCTTTTCGGAAAAGGGCAAAAGGAAGGGGAAGGTGGTGGGGCGGCTAAGAAGAGGGAAGGGGAAAGGGGAAGGCTGAGAATGAGGAAAGGGAAGGCTGGAAAGGGAGATGGGGAAGGAGGTGGGGCGGCTGAGAAGGGAGAAGGGGGAAAAGGGAAGAGAAAGGGAAGGGAAAGAAAGGCTAGAAAGGGAGAGGAGGGTAACGACTGTTAGAAAAGGAGAAAGTGATTTAGGGTTAGGGTTAGAGATGGTTTATTTTATACCTTTTTTTTAAATCGGTTTGATTTGGTCTGATTCAGTCGGTTTAAGCAGTTTTGAACCAGAATCGAATCAGACCAGGTAGTTTTTTATTTTTTAATCGGTTTATTTGGTTTTTTTATCGGTTCGGTTTTTTCAATTAATTTTTTCTTGATTTTTTTGATTTAATCAATTGGTCGGTTTTTTTTTAATACTAGTAGTAGTAGTAGTAGTAGTAGTAGTAGTAGTAGTAGTAGTAGTAGTAGTAGTAGTAGTAGTAGTAGTAGTAGTAGTAGTAGTAGTAGTAGTAGTAGTAGTAGTAGTAGTAGTAGTAGTAGTAGTAGTAGTAGTAGTAGTAGTAGTACTAATAATAATAATAATAATAATAATAATAATAATAATAATAAAGAAAAAGAAGGAGAAGAAGAAGAAGAAGATGAGAACTTTGAGATGGAATATTAATGTAACGATTAAACAATGATAATAACAAATGTCAAGGTTAGAGGTTCCACTAATGGTATATCAAACAAGTATAGTATAAACTCTTATTATTGAATTGGAAACCACACACAAAGGAGGTTCCAATCAGATTATATATTGTTAACATGATTACATTAGTCATCTTATTCAATTAATGCTAATACTTGTAAATCTCGTCAAGCATTCATGATTATAACTTATGTTAACAACAAATCAAGTTCTTTTCATAGCTCAGGTGTCGGTTATACCATACATTATGGGCTATGAAAGTGCCAAGCATTTGTTGTACCAAGTGTTATACAACATAAATCAAGATTAGTCATTTAACAAGCAAAGTATTAAAGAGTGAACAAGATAACAAATATAAAACATGTTAGTATCAAACATTAAAGTCCATATTAAGTTTACATTATACTTATTCTTACACCATTAGTGTAACCTTTTCACCTTGACATAACTAACTTAGCTAGACATAATGAAAGAAAGCAAAATAGATAAACAAAATAAGAACATAAAAGTTAACTAAGTAAAGGAAAGGAAATGAAAGGCATAAACTTAATATTAATGAAAGCAAAGCATAAACATTACAAAAAATACAAAGAGAGAAAGGAAGAGCATGATCTTGATCTGGAAACCAAGATGCCTAAATGCATGGAAAATGCCTCCTTTTATAGGCCAAAATTGGGAACTATTGATTTGATGACTAATTGATGAGTGGGTGGCCAACTCTTGACTTGGTGACAATCCTTATCTTCTCTTGTCTGCCCAAAACGTCATTGATAACGTCCAAATTGGAGCCAGTTGCAAACATGAAAGTTGTAGGCAATTGTCTCAGCTTTCTTGTGTAAAACATTCAGCTCATTTGGACTTCTAGAACTCCAGATATGGCCAAAATACTGAACAGTGCTCGGGCTGGAGGACAGCTTCGGGCTTCTTTGTTGTTGCAATAATTTGGACTTGAAAATGGCCTTTTTAGATCTTGGGCTCCATATGAAAGTTGTAGGCCTATGTCTTACCTTTCCATCCATATAAAGTAGACCTAAATCTGAGATCTATTGCTCCATATATGACCCAATTACCGAATAGTGTTCCGGTTTAGATTGCACTGACATCTCTTTTCTAATTTTGGTCATCTCTTTGCCCTTGCAATTTAAGTTCTTAAAGTCATCAATCAATCCTTTCATTTATGTGATAGGCCTGCATTTAAAATAAATATTTACCACAAATTAAAGGTATCTTATATTATTAGATATATTATTATAAAACATGCTTTAGTTAAGGAGTTATTGATACTTCAAGTGCAAAATGATGATATAAAACCATGATAAAAATGCACTTTTAAGTACTAATCACACCCCCCAACCAGCTTATTACTAGTCCACTTTTAAGTACTATTGATACTTCAAGTGCAAAATGATGATATAAAACCATGATAAAAATGCACTTTTAAGTACTAATCACACCCCCCAACCAGCTTATTACTAGTCCCTAGTAATCAAAGCGTTAAAATAGAAAAACAATTTGCAAATTCCACAAAGCAAGGTATTCATCATTGAACTTCCATTAATCTATCTAGATAAACAAACTCTCATTAAATTTATATATCTGCTCAATATCTCTTAACAAGATATTCATAAACCTTTATTTTGTGCTCAATATATCAACACGTAATTATGGGGCTTTTCTTGGAAGAAAACAAATTTTTTGTTCTAATGTTTAAGGTTAACTTCCTTGGGTTGAGATTATTATTTTTGTCTTTTTTTTTTCTTTTTTTCTTTTTTTAAATATATATACATATAATTTAAAAACACCATGCATCTTTAACCCATGAAACAAGCGTTCAACTAATGACTCTCAGACCAGTTGGTCTTAGGGCATTAGGTGTTAAGACACCCCTACGAGCTTAATAACTCAGGTCGCAGATACTGATATGTAGATAGTGCAATGTTTGATTCCCTTAAGC